GTGTGTGCGTGAGTGTGCGCGCGTGCGCGTGTTTGTGTCTGTGTGCGTACGCGCCCGCGTGTGAGTGTGCGCGTGAGTGTGTGCGTGTGTGCGTGCGTGTGAGTGTGTGTGTGCGTGCGTGTGTCTGTGTGCGTGTGTGTTTGTGTGTGTGTCTGTGTGTGTGCGTGCGTGTGTGTTTGTGTGTGTGTGTGATGGATGTCCTGATGGCACATGAGAGATAATCTGATGGTCATGCTCTACTTAAACACACCGTCTCATGATGCCTGGAAAACAAACTGCCTCCAGAACGACGAATGTCCCTCCTGCGCCTCGACTCCCAGCATCCTTCATCAACGACTAGAGTTGTACCGGCTTGACAGAAATTTAATTCGAGGCAGCTCTTGAAAATAATTATTGTATTTTGAAAGGAGTAATCATTGGTCAGGACATGATTGAATACGTCCATGCCTATTGACTTTTGCCATGATTAATAGGTTTGTTTAGTCGATATAGCCATCGAAACTGTATAATTAATTATCCGGGCGGCTGTCAGGCGGTGAGGATGGAGCGCTCTGATGAGGATTTGGGAAGATTAAATTTTCCGCGGGGCCCGTGTGTGTGTGTGTGAGAGACGCCTCCATCCCACTAACTCTCATTGATTTTGCTTCAGTGTCTCTTGGTGAGTAATTTATGGGCTAATTTAAATGTTTGGGTGAACTTTAAGTCAGGTTTACTGATATAGTGCTTCACATAATACAGATTCATTCACAGCAGAAACAGGAAAACCAGCATCAAAGACGCAAAGTTCTTCAATTTCAAGTATCAGTCATTTCAGTTATGATTGAACTATAAAGCAGCTTTACTGAAGATTATATTGACTGAAAAATATTAGTGGATGTTGTAAATAAAAGAAAGAATACTGGAGTGAGTTTTACAAGAAAATGCCGTTTCACTGTTTCTAATTCAAAATTTCACACGTTTTTTTTGCCTTTTCTTTGTAATTAATTTGCGATATTTACTAGCAATATATGAGTAAAAATTGTTTCTTCACAGTGTAGTGACATTAAGTTTAATTATTGTATAATTATGCTGTTTCAAGGACCGCTTAATCAATACATTTTACTGAATATCAATTGTCTTTAAATTGAAGACCATTAATATTCAGTCAAATTGATCAGATTAGAGTAATGTTTTAATGCCGTTTTTTTCTTTCCTTTTAAAAACAGTATAATATTGATTATTGACCATAGCATAAAATATTTAGCTCTTATTTCATCTGGGTTTTATATTTCAGTGCATCGCTGGTCAGAGCATTTCTGAACACCAACTAATGATGTTTATTCAACCTTTTTTCATTTTAGTCACAATCGACTACAGACAACTCTTAAATATAAAAGACCTAAAATGCAAGAGAAAAAATTGAAAGATATAAAGACAAATTACAGATGCACACTCTGTTCCTCTATTCTTCAGTTTCAGACATTTGAGCACCAAAATTGCAATGAATGAAAAACCAGTTTATTGCAATATTTCTGAGTGAAGCTGGTTGTGTCGAGGCTGTAATATTTGATTGGCTTTAGTTTTTGAGCATTGATGATGTGTTAGTGAGGGATGAATGCTGCACTCAAAATAATGCATTTGTCATAAATAGTGTGAAAATATGGCTGCTGCGATGAAAGTAAAGTGTGTGGTGTAAAACTCAAATTAAAGCACCTCTCACCCCGGCTCTTATCGATGGCCTTTAATGGCATCAGCTGTTGTCAGAGCTCTTATTTGACCGTACATAAATCAATGCACAATTACGGCAGGAGACGCCGATCGGCCCAAACCACACGCGGCTCTGTGATTTAGGACTGTCTGTGTTTATTGGGCTGAGGTGGTGTTTTGGAGGAGTTTGTTTGTTTTATTTATTTTCGTCTGCTTCACAAACACACGTGCTCAAGGTCACCGGCGCTGACGGATCGCGAGTGGGACGAGACGGGTTTTACTGCTGGCCCACCAGAGCAGCAAATCACTCGGATTAATTGACCTGCATGAAATGTAGTGTGAAATTTCAGCCCGCGGGTCTCTAGCTGCTAAATTAATTACTCAACATTCACACACACACACACATGCACATAAACACACACGTGTGTCATAGCTGTACTTTGACTTTCCCTTTTCACTGTGAACAGCTGTAGAATTTAAATTTCAGCAAATATATAAAGTGGGTACGGAAAGTATTCAGACCCCCTTAAATTTTTCACTCTTTGTTATGTTGCAGCCATTTGCTAAAATCATTTAAGTTAATTTTTTTTCCTCATTAATGTACACACAGCACCCCATATTGACAGAAAAACACAGAATCGTTGACATTTTTGCAGATTTATTAAAAAAGAAAAACTGAAATATCACATGGTCCTAAGTATTCAGACCCTTTGCTCAGTATTTAGTAGAAGCACCCTTTTGATCTAATACAGCCATGAGTCTTTTTGGGAAAGATGCAACAAGTTTTTCACACCTGGATTGTCTGAATACTTTCCGTACCCACTGTATATATAGAGAGAGAGAGATGGGTAGATTACTTACTAATATAATGTAATTGTTATCTGTTACTGATTACAAATTACATGATGAAAATTCAGTAATGTAATTCAGATTACTCATTTTAGGTAACGTATTCTGACTACTTCTGGATTACTTTTGGATCACTTGTAGGAATGGGCGATATGGGCTTTAAAATATATCACGATATTTCTAGTATTTATTGCGATAACGATATCAATGCCGATAATTCAGGGAATCCTTTCTTTAGAGAAAAGTATTATCTTTCCTATTTTTACCCAACATAGGGTGTTGTGAGCATTACTGAGTAGTACACATAATGTAATGACCGTTTAATTCATACTGGAAGCCAGAGGGCGCCCTCGCGCAGAAACTCCACATATGCATCGCAGAAGTAATAGCACTGACGACGCTCCAGGAAATCCCTAATATAGACAAAGGCATCCAGTATCGCTGAATAAAACGCAGATAGAGAAATTTTAGCTTAGGAAACTTAAAGACAATAAACATACGATTGCACAAATATATATGGTTTATCTGTGTTCTTCAAGCAATCTTGGGTATTTTTTATAAGTGTATACACATGCAAACTGTATTGCACAACATGCCACTGTAGTACATTTATTCAGACCGATTTTTTGTGCACTGTACAGCCCTAACCAAACCAGATCCAGATTGTAGAAGGAGCTCCTCGTTTAGCGATAAACACCTCCTCAATTTCACTTCCACCTTCCGCGATGTTTCTCCGCACTGTCGCACACAGAAATATGTCAGCAACTAGACTTTATAGTTATTATTGCGGGAAGACTAATTCTTATCGTGGAGAGAATTTTTACTGGTATATTGCAAACGATAAGATATCGCCCATCCCTAATTATCATTTACCGTCATCTACTGGTGGTTTGGTTTCATATTTAAAAGTATTGCATTTTTCTGAACATTTTTTACTTGTATGTTCAAAAATATTTAAAGCATTAATCTTATAAAATTATTTATGCATTTGAAATTTTGTGCTGTAAATGCATTTATGGCACCTCAGCTTCATCAAACATTCTGTGTAAATACATCTAATGAACACACAACTGGCATCTTTCTTTTTTTCTCTCTCGATCCATAATTAATTCAAATAAATGCTATAATTCATTTAAATAAATGTGATCTTACCGCACTATTTAATCTCTGTCTGGTTTGAAGCGGGCAGAATGCTAGAGCTAACGAGCCGTAAATGACTAAAATAATTTCGGTCAAATATTGCTCTGCGAAACATCATTAACAGCTTTAACTTGTAAATGCTGGCAAATGACCAAGGTATAAGCGGGATAATGCATGGCTACCTGCTTCACATCGGGTGGTTCTTGGCCTCCACGTCGTGCATTATCCCTTACGTAAAATATTTTTCCATTCCCATTCATGCATTTAACAGTTGCAAAGTAACTTACAATAGAGGATCAAAAGCAAGTCATCACAGAGCCAACAATATTTGCATTATATAATGGCACGTTTATTAGAAAGCTAATAAAAATGTGTAAACTCATTACAGTAAAGACAATTTAGCAGGAAAATGTTTGTTTGTTTTTTTCTTACATGCAGTAGTACGTTTACATACAATACGTTATATATGTATATATATATATATATTAGGGGTGTAACGATACACGTATT